GTCCACATAAACCGTGGCTCAGTCTGGGATAGGTGTTTGCTCTAAATCTGGACGTGGTGCTGTGGATTCCTGTATACGCGTCATGCAGTCATGAACGTCAAGCCCGTCTGAGCCATCCTGTCGGTCAGAGGAACGCAGCATACGGATCAATAAATGTGCTGGCGAATTGGGTGTGCTGCTCGCCTTTATAGTGAGATTTGCTGTGGAGGTCAGTGTAGCTTCATAACCTGAGCGACGTTGTGCGGTCATATGTTGTGTAGTTATGTTTGCTAGAATGGTCGTGACCTGGTGAATGTGGTCATGAAAAGAACAGTCTGGTATCCACTGTCTGCAATAGTTCACCATGCCTAGGAAGGACAACATTTCCTTCTGTGTAGTGGGCCGAGGGACGGAGGTCACAGCTTTGACCCTGTCTGCAGTCATGGAACGTTGTCCGTGAGACAGTGTGAATCCCAAATATTGAACAGAAGTCTGACAGTACTGCATTTTCTTTGCTGATGCTTTGTGGCCAGTCTGTTGGTGCTGGAGAAGCATGTGTGTAGCAGTTTGACATAGTTCCTCACTCGGAGCACAGAGGAGGAGGTCATCCACGTACAGCCCTCCGGAGGAGTGAAGCTGTCCAGGGTAGCACAGACCACCATTGAGAAAGCAGCAGGGCTATCTACCATGCCTTGGGGCAAACGAGTCCAGGTGTACTGCTTATTTCTATGTGTGAATGCAAATATCGGCTGTGTGTCTTCATGCACAGGCACTGAGGAAAAAAAGCGGAGCACAGGTCCACCACGGTAAAATGTATAGCTGTGGATGGAATAGATGTCAATATGCTGGGAACGTCTGGGACGAGAGGTGGCAGAGGCATAATGACTGCATTAATTTGCCTTAAGTCTTGTATGAAACGCCATACGCCAGGTTTGTTAGGCTTTGGCACAGGATTGACAGGAGTGTTATATGGAGATACTGTGGGCTTTATTACTCCTGTAATCAATAAATCTCCTATGATGACATCTAGGGCTGCGGCTTTTTCGGTGGAAATGGGATATTGCTTGACATATACTGGCTTGTTGTGTTTCAGCTGTGCGTGATAAGGTGTACAGTCAATATAGGGTAGGTTAGATCTATGTGTCGACATGGTGTAGTTATGTCATAACCTATGTCTGAGTTATATGACAAGACCACTGTTTGACCTTCACTGGTGTGAGCAGTTATCATGTTGTTGAACAGTGTGAGAGAGACAAAAGTGTGGCTCCCAGTCATGGGATTACCTGGTACACGTGTTTGGCACTTGTGTGTGACATGGAGTACCGGACAAAAAGATGTTGAGTTCATTCTCTGCTGAGGCGTCCAGCTGACACAGAGGCTGTTCCTTCTCCATGATTATCCCAGCGAAATACACTCCTAGACATAGAATACAGAGTTCTTTCATTAGTGAATTCTGAAACAAACCACCTGGCCTTTAACAAACCCTTTTCTAAGAGATAAAGAAGGGAGGATGGGAGTAAGGAAGTGATCTCTGTGGTATTTTCGACCTTGAGGTACCAGCCTGTGATTCTTACACATTAATTCTTGGGTCACAGAGAAAGAGAAAAAAAATAGTAAATGGGCCTTTTTGAGTAACAGTTTTCCTGTATAATATCACTATAAAACAATATCCTGTAAATGCTACCATGGTATCAAAATATCACAACAAACAGTAACAGACTGAACTAAATTAATGATATTAAATATAAAAATACTATTTTTATTTTTATTTATTTATTTTAATTATTGTGCCATGGTCCTGTTCCTAGATGACTGTAACAGTGCCACTGCACCAAGAATAAACTGTCAACCCACCTGTTTGAGAGAAGGCTGTTTAAAATAAAGTAACAAAGGAAAAATAAGAAGTTAAAGTGTGGAGAGACAACAGGGACAACTGAAATGGGCTGCATGCTGGTTGACTCGTGCACTTTTACTGTTCCTTTCTAGCTCGTAAAATTTAGAATGTTATATTCTATAATTCAGTTCTGCCTTTTGGTTTGGTGTCCTTGCAAACCTTGATAGGTGCCATTATTGCTGGTTGGATGTTCTATTCTCAGTGTTCAAGAGAAGGCAGAACACAGGTTTGATATCAAATTTCATCGTGTGTGTGTGTGTGTGTGTGTGTGTGTGTGTGTGTTCGATCTTAATGCTCCTATTTAAAACAAAACTAGCAAAACATGCTTGCAAGGTAGAAATTTCATAATTGGTTGACATATTGGCCATTGTTGTTACATTCAAGAATCAAATTATAAGCATGCATGCAAATCAAAACACTGATCCAAAGACTTGCCCACTAAGGTGATATTAGTATTTATTTTTGTTAAGTTTGAAAATGTGTGAAACCTATGGAAGTCAAACAACAGCCTCTAGCTCAGCTGGCAGGGATAGGTGAAGGGAAAGGCTTACATTCAATACAAGTCCACTTGTTCACTTATGACTCTCAAAAGGTTGATTCTGTTCATCTGGACGGGTGTTCTCAGTGAGAGAAATGTTTCTTCACTCATATAAGTGACTCCTTTAGTCTCAGCTGACTGAAGGCTTCCCCAACCTTACAAACAGTACATTTGCACAACTAGCCCACTAAATGAACAATGGGCTGAGAGGTCAACTCCTTGATCATTAACATGCAAACTGTCATGACATTGATCAAATACCATTGATCAGTGGCCATGAGTAGCATGAGAGTTAAAATGGCTGCAATCACAGCATTGTAAGATGTTGACAGATGTACCCTTAGGCACCCTCCTCGATTCAAAGATGGTCTTTCCCTTTTCACATAAGTGACCCAGGGTGATATATAAAACTGTTTTGCAATTTTTTTTTTTTTTATTTATTTATTTTTTTTCTGATAGTTTCCAACATAATGGCCACCTCCACTGAAAGACACTTTCCATCCTCAGCCTGTATCACCACCAAATCAAGACAGGATGAGCTTTACTCAAACTCATAAACTTCAGTGATGAATCAGAGTAGTAGTAACTGGTGTTGCTGACTTGCCTTGTTTTCCCAGGAAAATCTTGTGTTTTTTGGAATGTGTTTTATGGCCACCTACAAGAAACAAACAGGATTTTGGTTAGCGCTTCAGAATGATATAGTTTGCATTCTGTTCATGAAAAACATGTAACGATCCTTACCGGTAAATTGTCTGCTTTACGATAGCCAGCAAACACTGATCCAAACCCTCCTTCACCAAGTTGATGCTCCTGGATGTA